TGACGCAAGCTTGCGTGCGGACGCCGATCCGCATGGAATAATTTTTCGCAATGCAGGGTGACTAGTGAGGGATGTTTTTTGAGTGGATTTGTGCTGCATTTAAAAATTATGTATTTAATTTATAGAAATTTAAACAAAATATATAATTAGAATGAATTTAAAGTTAATATCATAATTTATTTTGAGTGAGAATTTGGCTTATTTGACAAAATTTGAATTAAATTATTCATATAAAATGATATAAGCAAGTCATGTCCTGTTAGGCTCTAGTCGCTAGCCGCCTGTCACTACTGTCAATAGCAAACCTTTCGCCTCTATTGCCGGCCATCTGTAGTTTGTTGTACCACATTGTCGCTACTGTCACAGTTTGATGCCACCCTCCATTGCCGCTCGAGAGGCCTTGGTTGTGTCGACCACTAGTTTGCCCCTTCAAACCCCAACACTCCTCTCGCCTTCGCTAGCCATTGGCCAATTGTCGTGCCACCCACCACTCAACTACAGCCGACCACCTGCCCCTCCATCCCACTATTGCCGCCCGACAAAAAATATATTTTAAATTATGTTGTTTTTAATTTGCTTCAAACCAAACAATTTAATTTATAGTAAATCAAACAACTCAAGAGTATTTTAAATACATTGTAATCATAATATTTTGTAAGTTATTTACATTTCATCTCATTTTTAGTAAAACAAACAACTCCTCAATGTTTGATAAGTTATTTGTTGCTCAGCTTAATAAAAGGCTCGTCCATATTCATTTGATTAATTAATGAAACAAACCTGAATATTTTTATAAATACTTGATTGTTAAATGAACAAGTTTGAAGAACTCCTTGTATGATTCATTTATGTTCAAGAACAATATCATTTAATGCTCGCGAGCAAGCTCGTTTCATTTAATGTTTATAAATAAGTTTGCTAATAAACTCGATTAAAGCTCGATTTAATGTGTTGGCATAAGATCAGTTAAAACATAAATTAAAACTAGTGCGAAAACTTATTTAAATCTCAATTTGAAATTAATTTATAATAAATTAAATTAACATTTTTTTCCTAGTATATAAAACAAGATAAAGACTTGTTTGCTTAGTTTTTGAACAATTCATGCATTTATATGCTTATTTTAATTATTCTTTTAGTACCTCAAAAACTCTTTTATTTTTGTAAGTTCAATAACTCATTGATAGGCTTGATAAAACTCATTTAATTGGAACATAAATAGCTCAATTATATTACTTACTATTTTGTTCAATAAGTTTTATTTAGTTTAAAAATAAGCTCAGCTTGAGCTCGAATTTTATAAACAAGCTCAAGCCTGAACACGGCCCTAAAGCTCGAGTGGTGCTTGAGCTCGGCTCGAACTCGAATTTTATAAATAAGCTCAAGCTTGAACACAATCTTGCTTAACTTGGCTTGATTCATTTGCAACCCTATAGGCTAAAAAATGCTTTGCCGTATTTGATCTCATGGTGGCAAAAACATTAAAAAATAAAAAATAAAAATAACTTATCATGAATTTTTTATAAATCAATATATCTTATATTTAAATTGTAATATTTATTTATATAATAATTTAATATCTCAATTATATCATAATTAATACATAAGAATAAATATATATTACATTAAAAAATATTAAAATTAATGATATTTATTGTGTGATTTAAGGATTTGAATATTATATCACACCTTAGATATTAAATGTATAAATTCATAAAAATTATGTGATATTTATGCAAACTTCTCAAAAAAATTAGAGAGAGATTTAAAAAAGAAAGAAAATATTTCAACCAAATGAAAGCTAGTGCTAAATGAGATCAAGAAGTGCGCATAATCTAACACTTTTATCTTGGTTTGCACTAACTATAACTTGATGAAATGAAGATGATAAATCAAGAATACCTTCAGTATCTCAGAGATTATGATGCCTGCCCATTAACAATTATTTTTTTACAATCTAATAAAATAATAATGATGGCTCAGGTACAACAGAAAAGTGGGTATTTGGGCTAATGAGGATCTAGTGACTCTTGCCCCGCCCTCTAAAACAAACCAGACAAAAGGCGTACGACGTAATGGTCAACTCAGGGCATCAAAAGATTGAGTAGGAGTCATGCAAGCATTCATGAGACGAGTTAGAGTGACCGAGTAAGATGAGCATAGTATGACTGGACCGAGCATGAGAATCATCGACTGAAGAAAGTCTCCCCTATGCACTAAGGAAGTTAGTCGGAAAATGATTTCTCTAAGACCCGGCTTTAGTGATGATGACCAGTAAGAATCATGTATGTCTAGAGGACTTGGGATGACATATGCCCAAATGATTCATTTTATGAAATTCAACCCCTATAAATGAAGAGTTTTAAACTTAAATAGTAATTCAATGTAAATAACGATATAATCTCTAGGATTTTTCCATCCACTGGAAAACCCATCTAATTTCCATTGTCTAGCGCATCATTTAATTAACTCAGCAGCTTAGCTCTCTATTTGCCTCTCTCTCTCTCTCTCTCTCTCTCTCTCTCTCTCTCTCTCTCTCTCTCTCTCTCTCTCTCTCTCTCTCTCTCTCTCTCTCTCTCTCTCTCTCTCTCTCTCTCTCTCTCTCTCTCTCTCTCTTCCTTTTCTCACTCCTTCCAAATGCTCTACTCCTCGCGTTTGATTTAAGGACAAATCTGTGTTCAACATTTTAAAAGGTATAGTGAGTGTGGATTATACCACAAACAAAATGAGGAGTCGTGCAAAGAGAAAAATCAATCCTTAGAGAATTTGGAAGCAATATGGACTACAATAGAGAATTTGTAACTCAACAAAACCATAAGCACAAGGAGTGCATGATGGAAATAATCAGAGCTACACTTGCTCAAGAGATGATGTTGCAACCTTAGGTGGCATCCACTCTACACTGATGGCATGATCTCGACATCAACACTTGGAGAACCCCCACCGGCCTCAAATAAAGAGGATGAGTCATACTATTCTGATAGTGAAGGTTCGACTTTGTCGAACTGTAGCAGACAAAGGCTTGCAAAAACACCATGGCCTTGTTGTTGAAGAATGTGGTCTCTAAGGGGATATTTTAATCTGAAGCTCCTAAGCCTTCAAGATTTCATCCATAAAATTCTTTTTAGGATGGTTGGATCTTTCTGGCTGTGTCGCCTCTTTTGAATTTATTATGTGTCTATTGAGAATAAGTGATGCACTGATGTGTCAACTTTTCTTCATGACTTTAAAAGAGTATGCCTTCTTATGGTTCAAGAGCTTGCCATTGGGGGTGATCACCACTTTTGAAAAGTTCAAGATGATGTTCATAGCGTAGTTTTCCAGTACATAGAAGCCCCACAAAAGCTTGAAAACATAGTTGCAACTTTCTAGAAGCACAAAGAATCCCTATGTGTTTTTGTTTCACTTTCTGAAGAAGATGCTGGAAGTATGAGATTTGGAACCGATAGTCACCTAAGTTTTGCTAGCTCAAGGACTGAGGAAAGTTCCATTCAACTATGCATTTGGCTAGCACCGCCCAAGGATGTTAGCTGAGTTTTTGGAACTCGCCAATACTCACATTTCAACAGAGGAACGAAACTCGCTTTTGGCCTCCCTAAGCCCCGAACATTCAAAGAAGCACCCCTTGAAGTGAAACTTCTACAAAGGAGAATAAAAACCAAATAATCCCTTGTGACTAGTGACAAAACCCAAATTCAAGAAGAATCATCCTCACCCATTCCGTGGAAGGACTCTCATGCTAAAGAGAGAGGTCATCCCCTCTCAAAAAATGAGGGTAGACTGCCATCTAAAGAGGAGGTCCCCATCTCTAACTCATGAAATCCCAAATGGACTCTATTGAGATTCTTGATTGTTGAATTTATAGAAACTATCTTGAATATGGAATTCTTCACAAAGCCCACTCTGATGAAGTTTGAAGCGAATGCTAAGGATTCAAAGAGATATTATTCTTATCATAGGAATTATTGGTATCACATAAAAGAGCGTCTCCATGTTCAGAGCTTGATTGAGAAATGATTAATGTCGGAAAGCTAAAGGAATTTATGGAACCAGATGCAGTCACCTAAGGGCAGGGTATAGCTCTACCAGAAGAAGATCTCAATGAACACGCTCAAGCCCATGAATTTCATATTATGAGTATCATCCTAGATATTCTAGATGGAGATGGAGTCAAGCCATCTTGATTGACCAGCTTAAAGATACTTCACTTAGAAGAGTTGTGTATGATAGCTTCATCTCAGTGTAAATATGTGCACCATCCACTCATCGTCTTCACGGAGGAAGACTTGTCCGTTGAATGCAATCCTTACAATGTCACTATTACAGTCACAACCCTAATTATTAGTTTTTAAACTGACAGCGTCCTTATCGACACAAGAAGTTATTTGAATATCTTGCTCAAGTCTATAATTGATAAGATGAATTTGGGGACCACATGCTTATCAACCATGTCGAAGCCATTTTTTTATCTTTTCAGAATAAAATATTGGGAACCCTGATTTTCCTATCACCTCGGTGAGGGTGATAAATAATTTATGGCCATGGTTGATTTCTTCATAGTTGACACTCTCGTCACTTTCAGTTCCATCTTCAGTCATCTCATCTTTAACACCTTTA